CTGGAGGGGTACAGACCAAGATGGGTAAACACTGCTGGGGAGAGTAGGCCTGCCGGGGGGACCCTGAGGATCCTCAGACCGCGGCCCTACCCTCTGCGCCCCGCTGCTCTGGGCCGAGCCCTCCGGTGGGCGGGGCCACGGAGGGCATGGAGTTCTTCAGGTGGGGCCCCCCCTGGCTCCAGCACGCAGGGCACGGATGGCCTCAGTTGTCCAGGCCCTGGCTGTAGGGCGCGGCCAGCTCATCCGCGTCGCTGTCTGAGCTGCCCTCGCTGTCCTTGGCCGGCCGCTCCAGTCGGCGAAAGAAGCGCGCGTCGCGCGGGGACAGCGGGTAGAGCGCGTCCTGCAGCGCCGCGCCCACGCCCACGCCCACCCCGAGCAGCTCCTCGTCCGACGACGGCAGCGAGTCCTCATCCAGGTGCCGCGCCAGGCCCAGCCCGTCGAAGGCCAGCGGGTCCTCGAAGGGCGGCGGGCCCTTCAGCAGCCGCACCTGGGGCGGGGAACCCGTGCGCTGAAGGCCCGCCCCGCCGCGCCCCCGCGGACAGAACCCGGCCGCCCCGCGGCTCCTCCCGCCACCCCGCCGCCCTCCCCGCCGGCGCCGCCCGCCCCTGCCCTCCAGCCGCCAGCCGGCGCTCACCTCCGCCTTCAGCTCCTCGATCTGGTCCTTGAGTTCGCGGATGTACTGCGACGAGTCCGAGTGGTTCAGTTGGCCCTGGATGCGGCCCTCCTCCCTCTGCGGGGCGGTCCAGGTCACCGCGGGTCAGCGCAGGGCCCGCCCCGGGGCCCGGCCCCCGCCCCGGCCCCGCCGCTCACCTGGATCTCCAGCTCGGCGATGCGCTGGCGCATCTCGGCCACCGCCGCCATGCTGTCCGCCTCCCGCAGGCGCACGGCCATCACCTCCTCCTTGCTCTGGGGGCAGAGGGAGCGAGGGCGGGTCAAGGGGCGCGGCGCGCCGGGGGCCGGGCCGGGGCGGCGGGCGGGGGCGCACCTTGCACTCGGCCTCGGCCTGCTTGCGGCGGCTCTCGCTGAGCTGCGTCTGCAGCCCCTTGTTCTGCGCCGCCAGGTACTGCAGCTTCTCCTGCAGCGCCGCGCGCTCCGCCTCCACGCGGTTCAGCAGGTTGCGGTGGATGTGGTCCTGGAGGCGGGCGGGCGGGCGGGCGTCACCGCCTGGTCCCCGCGCGGGCCGCCAGCCCCGCCCCGCCCCGCTCCGCCCCCTGCGAGGGGCGCGGGCGCCCGGGCCCACCTGCGTCTCGAGTTCCACCACGCGCTGCCGCAGCTCGCGGCCCTCGGCCAGGGCCTGGGCCTCGCGCAGACGCACGCTCATCAGCTCGTCCTGCAGCTCGCCCAGGACCAGCTTCCGGGGGGACTCCTTCCAGCGGCCGCCGCGGGACAGGTGGGCCTAGGGGGAGAGGGGGGCGGTCCGTCTGCAGCCGCGAGGGCCGCGCGGGCCGCTCCGTGCGCGCCGGGCTGGGGCCCTCACCTGCCAGGTGTCCGAGAGCTCCTGCAGCTGCAGCTTCAGCTCCCGCGCCGAGGCCACCGCCTCGCCCTCCCGCACCTTGACCGCCTTCAGCTCCTCCTGCAGCCGCGCCACGTTGTTCTCGTCCGGCAGCGAGCTGTTCCTCTGCGGGGCGAAAGGGGGTCAGATCCTGGGGCAGCTGCGGCCAGGCGGCCCCGACCGAGACCCCACCGTCACGTCTCCTCTAAGCCCCACCTTGGGCACCCCGCGGGGAGACCGTGCCCCGGGCACCCCAGGAGACACCCATGCGGCCCCCGGGGAGAGAGTCTCAGAAGGTTCGGCCTGCAGAAGGGGTGTGGAGAGCGCCTGCTCTCACTGGACTGTCTCAGGGTGACCCCCTGACGCCGGCATTTTGGGTAAACGTTACTGCTGATAACACCAGGCAGGCTGGGCAAGGGTGGGTGCCTCCCCATCCTGGGAACCTGAGATCCGCCCCCTGGGGCCCGTGATCACACTTGGGACCTGCCCCAGCAGCAGCTGAGACCATGGGTGGCCCCTCCCTGTTGCTGCTCCTTGCCCTGCCAGACCCCAGGCTAGGCAGCCCCTTCCTCGGGAACAGGCTGAGGGCCAGTTAGGCCCGGGCTCCAGTTCCAAGGGCTCAGTGATGAGGGACTGTGCTCCAGCCAGATCGGAATCTGGCTTGCTGCTGGGGGTCCTCACTGACCCTTGTTTGAGTGTGGGAGTTGTTGGGGGGTGGTGTTGGGGGCAGGATCTCCTGGGGCTTATTTCCCTTTGATGTGGAGGCAGGTGGGAGGGAAACCCAGCTCTGGGCCGGCTGATGGGGACTGAGAAGCCCATGGATGGGGCAGAGACACCCCACCTGGGAGGGCACCCCAAATATGGCAGGCTTGAGAGGAGGGAGGCCTGGTTCCTGCCTTGTGTGAGTGGGTCCTGCTGCCCCCTGCTGGCCGGGGCACCTCTCTTCCAGCGGCTTTGCAGGAGCTGAGTCAATAGGGAGTCAGGGACAGCAGTTGAGCTCCGCCCAGGAGGTAGGTAGCAGGGTAGCAGGCTCCAGGAGAGGGTGGTCCCAGTCCAACCCCTGGGTGGTATCTCTCTGGGGGTGGGGAAGGGGAGAGCAACCCTGATGGGCCTTGGCCTTCCCTCCAACTCCATCCCCGAGCCCAGGGAGGGAGACACACACACACAGGTAGGCCTGTCTGCCCAGGAAGCCCATGGACGCCACCACACCACTGGCCTGGGGCACGAGGGTAGGTGTGTCCCTTGAGGAGTCATTCTGCTTTGTGTGTGCCCTGACGTGTGTGCATCTCTGGGGCTTGGCAGGGTCTGTGGTGAGGGGCCCAACTCCCCATAGGCCCAGAACCTTGCGGGTGAGCATGGGGGAGGAAGCAGGGCACCAGAGGGTCAGGGAGGCTCTCTAGGTTCCTTGGGAAGCCGCAGGGCAGGGGCCGGTCTGAGGCGCCCTGCTGGTCTGCCTGGTCACCCCTTCCTGACTAGGGCCTGGCCACACGCCTCCCTCAGTGCAGCCGGCACCTCTGCTTCCCCTTTCCCGTCGTTCCCCGGATAGCCACCCACTTGCCCACCCAATCGCACCTTCTCCATGTCCAGAACCTTGTCCTGCATCTCTCGCAGAGCACCCAGCGTCTCCGTCTCCCGCAGCCTCGACTGCTCCAGCTCGGTCTCCAGGTGGGCCACGAAGTCCTCAGTGAGGCGCGGGTTGTCCTGGGGGGCAGGCAGAAGGCTGTGCTGGGCCCCAGGCTGCCGCTAAAGGATAAGCAAGCCTTCCTGCCAGCTGGCTGTGGGCCCGGGCCTTGCCCCCGCCCCCCAAAGCCCCCGGGCTGGCAGAGGGCTTCAGGCTGCAGGTAGACACGGGTGGAAGGTGAGGAGAAGCCCTGGATCCCCTTCCTGTGCCTTCTGACCTTGTGGGGAGAGAGCCCAACCCCATCATGCGGGTTCTGGTGCTCTGTGCCTAGGAGTGGCCTGGCTTAGCCTCTTTCCTGGGAAAGCCACAATGAAGGGACCTTCTGAAGGGGTCTTTCCAGGGTCTCAGGCTGCCCCCAGAGGGATGCCAGTGGCTGGTTCCCAGGATTGGGCACCCTTCTCCCTCTGTGGTCGGTGCCAAACCACACAGTGGGGGTGGGAGCGGGGGGTGGTTAGGGCTGTGGCACTCCTGTCCTCCTTTCTCCACCTCCCTCCTCTCACTGGACCCCCATTTCAAAACAGGAAGGGATGGGGAAAGTCTGCTGGGATCCCTTTCTTGTTCAGTGCCCAGAAGGTACCCCATGGGGGCCCGGGGAGGGGGGTGCGTGCGGACAATGACAAGAGCTTTGCTCAAGACAGTGAAGACCTGGCTGGTGGGTGAGGGAGGCCCCTTAAAGGCTGGAGCTCGGGGGGCGGCAGGGGAAGGTCTCCCTGGCCCGGAAGCGGGCATCGCGCCAGGGTTGGGATGAGCCCAACCTTGGTTTCCCCATGGGCCATGCCGCCACTGGCAGGTTATCAAATAAGGAAGGTGGCCTGGGTGCAGCTGAAGGAAAATCCCAAATCCATGTCCTGGAGAAGTGGGCTCTTCAGAGTGCTCTGGCCCGAGGGCCTGCCTCCCAGGATGCAGAGGTCCTGACTCCACAGCACAACCCGGGCCGCCCCCACACCCCCATTCTGCCAGCTCAGAGTGGTGGGCACAGACCAGACCCTCTTCTGGGGGCAAAGTGCTGGGCTCTGGAGTGGGGAGCCCCCCCCCACCATCTCTCATGCTAGCTTCCACCCTGCATAGCTGGCTCCTGGGGAAGGCTGACAGCCCTGGGGACACTCCAGGGCTCCCCTAAGGAATCACAGCCACATCAGCTGAAGGAGGGGACCCTGCAGGTAGAGCCTGGGTCCCAGGATGCCTCACGGACTGGGGGGAGATGGAAACCCCAGGATTCCCCAACCTGGGGGTGGGGCCGCTTCCTTGGAGGGGGGCAGAATCTGCACTCCCTCTGGGTTTCTCCTCCCCTCCCCTGCCCCTCCCAGGACGTAGGGGGCTGATCCGGAGAGCAGGAGCGGTGCTGTGGGGTGCAGCCCCCCCACCCGCCGGGTACCTGCTGCTCCTGGAGCTGCCGGATGGTGCTCTGGGCCTTCTGGAGGTCCTCGGCCGCCGAGCTGCACTGCTGCCGCACCACCGCCAGCTCCCGCTTGATGACGTAGTTCTCCTCAGCCTCCTGCGCCCGTGTCACCTGCCCCTGAGCACAGGGAGGACGGGACACCGTGACCCTCTGCTCACACCCCAGGCCCTCCCTCTGGCCTGCCTCTTGGGAGGCCCCGAGAGGGCGGACGTGGGGTGGGACAAGGGCAAGGCCTCCTGCACTCAGAGCCTGGGATGGGGCGCCCCACCGGGTCTGGGCCTGTGAGGTTGGGGGGGGCACAGGCAGGAACAGGACACGGGGAGGAACCTTAGGGCACACACCCACCCCAGGCCCAGGCTCTGTGGGGCTGAAATGGAGAACGGGGACCCCAGGCTGGGGCCGAGGCCAGCTTTTTCCCCTGCTGGCTCTCAGCCTCTGTCCCAGGTGAGGAGAAACCATCCTTATTTAGGACTGAGGGATAGCAGAGGCCGGGCTCCCCTGGCAAAGGTGGGGGTCTGGAGGCAGTGGAGGGCCCAGGGACTCAGGACCAACCCCTTAGGGCAGCGTTGGGAGGCGGAGCACAGCTCTTCTGGAACCTTCTCCAGTCCTGAATCCTGGGGCCTCCATCTACCTGGGGCTAAGACCTCCCCCTACCTCATCCCCTCAACCCGCCCGATCCGGGTCCCCCCATTCCAGGCTCGGAGCCACCAGGTGGCAAGCAGAAGCTTCCAGATAAAGCCATTCAAGATGAGGCAGCAGCAGAAGCAGGTGAGAGAAGATGGCAGGCCTTGCAGGTAGGAGCGGTGAAGGGCCAGAGGGGTGTGTGTGTGTGTGTGTGTGTGTGAGAGAGAGAGAGAGGCTCAGTGCAGTGCACACATCAGGGCCTGTGGCTGACAGAGCCTCGGGGTCCCCACCCGTGTCCCCTGGAAGGAGGAGGCTTTCTGTCCCTGTGCGTGTACAGACAGTCACAGACAGACTCACACTTACCCCCACACCATGCTTTCACACGCACACCCCTCCTTCCCCCCTCAGGAAATCTCTGTCTCCCCTGAGAAGCGGTCTCCAGCCACCCCCATGCATGGTGCCAAGCCTGCCCCCTTCTGCTCGCCCCCGCCCCGGGTTGGCAACAGCCAGGGAAGAGGCGGGTCCTGGCTGTGGTGTGCAGGGACCAGGAGGGACATGGGCGGGGGGACAAAGAGCTACAGTACCTGGATTAACCTATCAGCCAGAGCAGCGCTCTCCTACCCGGCCGAGGGGGTTCCGAGCGACAGGGGGAGGAGGCAGAGCGGAAGGCGCAGGGACAGGAGAGGGGGAGAGACAGACAAGAACCACTTGTCACTAACACGCAGTGGACTATCTCTAGAAGCAGGGGAGAGAGGAGTGAGACCAGAGAACCAAAGAACCAGCAGGAGAGGACCCGGAGGAAGAGCAAAGCCAGAGCTAGCTCCGTCCTGGAGAGGGACGTGTGTGTCTGGGCGGGTGGGGCTGCCGTTCTGGGAGACTGTGGGATGAGGTGGTGGCAGTGATGGGGGGGCAGAATATTTTAACTTGGAGTTGGAATAAGAATCGAGGCTTTGGCGCAAGAATCGAGGCCCCCCTGTGGGCAGTGGGGGCGCCGAGTGGGAGTTGGAGAGGAGAGGCAAGTGGGGCCCCTCTCCCCACCTTTACTCCCATCTTTAAAAACAGGATGGGGGCCAGGGTCAAGGTTGTGGCACCCCCCCACCCGCACTGCACAGCGCCAGTGTAAGGCTGCCCCTCCTCTACCTCCTTTCTTTCCAGGGTGAGGCCTCCAAATTACGGGGTTGGGAGCCTGTGGCCTAATTCGGGGCACCCCGGTCAAAGCAGCAGTCTTCCTCCTTCCCCCCTACACAGGCAGCCCTGGAGGGACCCGTGCTTACAGTTAACTGGGTTGTAATTTCATACCAATCCCAAGCAAAGCTGCCCTATGTCCCTGGTTCTGCGGCAGCCCAGATCTCAGCGGGGCTCTTGGTGGGGGGCCACTGGTTCAGGGTGGGGTCCGGGCAGGGGGCTGGCTGGCCCTCTGGCTGCTGGGTCCTGCTTGGGGCCTGCGGGAGTTGGTGCCCCAGGCTGGTGGCCGCACTCCTCACCTTTTCCAGGGTCTCAATCCGTTGTTTCAGGAGCCGGTTCTCCGTCCGAAGCCTCTATGTAGGGAGAGGGGGGAAGTGTGTCAGAAGCCCACTCCCACTCCCATACAGACAGAATTCGTTCCCTTAAGGGCCAGGCTGCCTCCAGACAAGACAGAGCCATCATCGAATGCTCTGGGGAAGGCATCCCGGAAAACAGGGCCAAGTCCCGTTCAGCATGGCCCATTTGATTTTTTTTTTTTTTAAACAAACTTTGGTTCATTTAAAGTGATCGCTTTCATGAGTATGCACTTGTGTGTCAGGGGTCAGCCATCAGCACCCTTGCCTTCCTGGGGAGTCTCCTGGGAGCCCATGCTGGGGCCTGTCTGAGGCCAATGTGATGCTTCCTACAAGGGCAGGCCTTCCTCTGGGCCGGTCTGTTCCCACCCCTCACTGCTTCGCTTCCAGCACCAGAATGAACTGTCCTCAGAGTCAGGATCCTGGGGAGGGGGTCTTGCTGAATCCACGGGCCTCCTTGAGCTGGACGGCTACGTTTCTGTGACCCACCAAAAGTCAGGGGACTCAGAAGCCGTCACTTCCCTCCGGTGGGGGTTCTACAGGCCTCTTGCTTTGCTTTTCACCTTCTCCCCTGGACTGATGGGTTTGGGTTAGATATTTGTGGTTTTAAGTTCCCCATGGCCTTTGGGAAGCAAAGTGAGGTTTATATACGCCTCGCATCTTAGTCTCTACTTATGTTCCCTTTAAGGAGCGGGTGCAGATGGTTGGATCTTAAGTGTGTTCTGAACAAAGACCAACCAGACCCTCCATCTTCTTGAAGCCCCAAGACCCCGCATTCATCCATTATTAATGAGGGAGCTGCCTCTCTGTGGGCCACACAGAACATTTTCCGGATTCTTCCGGAAAGAAGAAGGTGATGGAAACACCCAGAACACTCCCGGGAAGCATCTGCAGTCAGAGAATCACAGACGTGATTCACATTCATTCACCGATGTCATGCATGGGGAAACTGAGTCAGAGGGGGGCAGTGTCTTGTCTGAGCCCCCCACCTTGCCTGGGTTAGAGGTGTTTCAGGCACAAGTCTCTGCCCCACATCTGGAATCAGGAGTCTGGATCTCTTGGAGGGCTCTTGCCCCATCTCTGGGCTTGACCCATCACTCCGTAAGCACAGAGATCCTCGAGAAGTTGGATGTGGCCAAGTAACAACTCCCCTCTCCCACTTACTCCAAAGAGAAAATGAGACAAGGAGTGAGCAAGAACTACAGGGTCTAAATATACATCAGGCTTTTTTTTTTTTTTCTTCTGTATTTTTGATGTTCTGACATCTAGCCACCCTGCCGGTCTTGGAGAGACTGCCCTGCCCAGGACTGGCTAATTCCTAGACACAGCAAACCAGTAGGAGTGTGCCTTTCAGATGCAAACCAGCCAACCCAGTGCCTATACCCACCTACCTCTCACTCATGCCATCCTGCCCAATGTTCTCTCTGCCTTAAATTGCCCCCAAGACAACGAGGGACCCCCTGTAGACTCCCAGCTCCCAGCTTCAAAGGAACCAACCCTTAACTCAAACTCGACTACCCAGCCTTGCTCATTCTTTTCTGTGGAGACCACAATAAAGGCTCTGGCCCATGCTTTGCCCCTCTCGCCCTCTGCCTCCGGACCCACTCTGATGCTTCCCCATGTTGCCAAGCATGGTGGGGCGTGCCCCCTCCCTTTGGGAACTGTGAGTAATAAACTCTTCTTTCAAAGGCAGTCTCTGTGTTGTCTCCATGTCTGTCACTTTGCCACACCTAATTAAAGCAAATTCTAGGTACATTTTGAAATAGGCTGTAAGGGAAAGAGCAAAGGGCAGGGCTATGGGACAAGGCATCTGCCTGGATCCTTTAAGCACGTGGGTTCTCAGGCTCCTCTCAGGAGAAGTTTCCAGGTGGGGCACGTAGTCTGAGTGTCTGCTGTGTTCCTACCTACTGCTGGGTCCTCACTGTCACCAGATGGGGGCAGGCCCATGACTGTGCATGAGCAGGACAGGCACACATGTTTGGACTGGTGCATCAGTCAAGCCACCATTTCTGAGAAAGGGGAACGCCTGCAAACTCAGGACACAAAACTACTTCTGGAAAACCTACAGACGGGGCCAGGACACAGATGGTCTCTTTCCCCTTCAGGTATGGGTGGCAAGTGACCTGGCTTCTAATCTAGATTCTGCCTCTCCCTTTCTAGAAACTTTTTTTTTTTTTTAAAGATTTTATTTACTTATGAGGGAGAGAAAGCAAGAGCAGGGGGAGTGGCAAGCAGAGGGAGAAGCAGGCTTCCCACTGAGCAGGGAGCCCGATATGGGACTCGATCCCAGGCTCCTGGGATCATGACCTGAGCTGAAGGCAGATGTGTAACTGACTGAGCCCCCCAGGTGCCCCTCCCTCTCTAAAGGAGGTGGAGATGTTGATAGTGGTGATGGTAACAAAAATAGAAATAATAATAATTTGAACAGCAGAGCAAATCTTATCCCCATTTTGCAGAAGGGGACACTGAGACTCAAAGAGGCGAATCTTCCTGGGTCACATGGCTGGTCCATGGTAGAGTTGGGATTTGAATCCTGGTCTGTGGGACTCTAGTCCCAGCCTCTGTGGGGCTCTGTCCCTGAAGAGGACAAAGCCAGGGGTTATGTATTTGTGTCTGTTCCTCCCACTGGACCGGGCAGGGGGGGGGGGCTCAGTCTCCTATGACTCTGGTACACAGTAGGTGCTCAATAAATGCTTGTTGAGTGAATAAGTAAAATCATGTGTGTAAGGGTGAAAGCAGAAAGGAGAGGGAGGAGAGACTGGAGGGTCGGAGGGGTCACAGTGGGTAGGGAGCCCTGTCACACCTGGCTCCTGTCTGCCCCTTACCCCAGGGCTCCGCCCACCGAGGCAGTCTTCCTGACATTCCTCGAGTCCATCAGGCCTGCCGCAGCTTGGCCTTTTGCACTGACTCTGTGGGCCTGGAGCGATCGTCCCTGGGGTCAGCTCCACCTCTCTCCTGCATGTTTTTATCCAGAGTACTTTCTGGAGTCCATACTCTGTACCTATGGGTTCCCCACCATCTCCCCATTGTAACTGGGGCGTCTCATGAGGGCAGGGACCTATCTACCTTCTCTGCCCCACCAGCCCTGCGACGGGTCTCTAGCAGCAGGGTGGGCCCTGCTGCAGGTTGAAGGGACAGGTGGGCAGAGGGAGGACGCCTCAGATTCTGAGGACAGGCTGGCTCGTGGCCTGGGCAAGGCTGCGTCCCAAGGGCATCCTGTCGCTGTGCCCCACCTCCCTGGGGACTCACTTTGATCTCGATCTGCTCCTCCATCTCCTTGCTCTTCATGGCCGCGTACTCCTTCTCCAGCCTGCAGACGGGAGGGCCACTGTGGTCACCATCCCACTCTCGGGGACCCCGTTCTGCCAGCACCCTGGCCTCCCGGTACTGACCTCTTCATCTTCTTGGGGTTGTACTTGACCTGGTAAGCCTTGAGGACCAGCTTGTCCGGGCAGCTGTCGAACTGGTGGGGGATCACCCTCTGGAAGTACTGTGGGGGGTGGGCACAGGCCGTCCTTGACACACAGGCCCTGACTCACAGGAGGGGTGGCCAGAGCCCTGCTGTACCCCACTTCCCTGCAGGAGGAGCCGGTCTGCCAGGGGCATCACGTCCCAGCTCAGGGCCCAGCCTGCGTGGGCACTCTGTCAGCGCGTGTGGAGCAAGTGAGTGCGCGGGGTGTGGGGGGAAGCAAGTGCCTGCAGTCGGGACTGCCTTCTGCCCCAGAAAGCAGGGCTTCAGCAGCTCCTGCGGCCAGCCGGAGGCCGGGTGGCGGTGGGCCTTTTGCAGAGGAAGGGGGTCCTATCGCTGTCCCAGGGCAGGGAGAGGAGAAATCGGGGCCACAGGAGCAAGCTGGAGGGAAGACCCCTTGGTGGCCGGCCTGTCTGCCTGGGCCCAGGGAGCCCCGGCGAAGGGTTAAGCACTGGCGCTGATGGAGGACACAGCTTGCTGCGGTTCAGGGCCAGGCCGGCTCCCGCCACCCAGCCCAGCTGGCCCCTCTGGCAGCTGCACACAATGGATGCCCGTGTTCACGGACACAGCCGTGGCCTTTGTGCATTCTTCCCTGAAGCACCAGCTGGAAGATGCTGGGAGGGGAAGGGGCCTGCCTGATGGGGATGGGGCGGCAAAGCAGGCTGGCCTCCTCTCCAGCGGGCAGGGTGGGCGTGAAGCTGCCCCAGGCCCCTCACTCCCGCCCGTTGCTCTCACCTGGCCCAGTTGCCAGGGCTGAAACCACACCCAAGGCCTTGCGGTCTGGCTACTATCACTCTTTGCCCCGTTAGACTTTGGAGGCCCCAGAGCTGGGAGCAGCAAGGGGGTGGTGGGACCTCCCGGGGCTTGGCCCAAGCCTGGGCCTTCCACCATTTCCCCTTGACCCCCGAGTAGCCAGGTTGCTTCTTAGAGCCCGCCTCGTCCTCCAGGAAGTCCTCAGGGAAGCACGGGACAGGGGCAGATGTTCAGGAACACCTTCCGCCCTTGCAGCCAGGCCCTTCCCCATCTCTCAGGAGGACTTCACCTGCCTGGGTACCCCTGGTGTAAGGGAATCCCACCCGCCCCGGCCCTCCTGGCCCACCTGGGACATCCCCTCCATGTCCAGCTGCATCAGCTCTGTCTGATTCACCTGCAGCAGGGCGAGGCCCACCCGGAACACAATCTCCAGGCCCTGCAAAGGGGATGATGGCAGCAAGTCTCAGGTCCTGCTCTCCCAGGGCAGGCGGCTGGGGGGCTGCGAGGAGGTCTCTGATCCCCCCATCTCCCCCAAGCCCTGGCCCTTCCTTAGCCTGGGCCTGGCTGCGATCTGTTTCCCATGTCAGGTATCTGGGAGAGGAAGGGGTGTTTGGGGTCCTCACCTCGTACATGAAGATGTCAAAGACACGGGTGGCAACGGGGAGCGGGAAGGTAGTCAGGAAGAGTGTGAGAAACCAGGACGAGGCGTACATAGATGTGTGGAAGCTCTGGGAGCGGAAGTGGGTGTTCAGATCCGGGAGCTGCTCCTGGGGTGAGGGGGTGGGAGGAGGAAGCCAGGCACCATGAGGAGGCTGTGGGCACAGCGGGCCCCCTCCACCCACAAGTGTGGGGGCTCGGTGCCTCGGTCTCCAGGGAGACTTCCTGGCCTGCCCCGGGCAGCCTGCGGCTCCCTTCCTCTGTGCGCCCTTGGCACTGTGTTTGGGTGAGGCTGAAGCACCCAAGAGCTCTGAGTGGCAGGAGGTAGGGAAACAGGCAGGGGTGGTAGTAGCTGCAGCAGCCGGTGGGAGGGGGGGCTGAGTACACACGGGGAGCCCGTGCTGGCACAGTTGCTTATGGGATCCCCACCACTGCCTCAAGAGGGAGCTTCTAAGGCTCGGGGTTGGGGAGGAGGAGGGTTATGTGGTCAGGTCACTCCCCCAGCTCACCCAGACAGCGAGGGTGGGGTGGGGTGTGAGCTCAGTGCAGCTCACCCCCTATTGTGTGACCTGCCGTTGCTGTGCCCACCCACAGCCCCGCTGCCATCATACTTGGCGCCCAGCAGTGCCCAGGGGATGCGTGTCTGATGGGCCCGAACTTCAGACTGCTGAAAAGGGACAGAAATTGGGGAAACTAAGGCTGGACAAGGTGTCAGGAGCCCCTGGATGTCCTTCACCAAGAGAGATCAGACTCTGGGGCTGTCTCCCCCCCGCGCCCTGGGGCTTCGTCCCACAGCCCGGGATTCTCTGGGCCTGTCACCCTACTCCGCCGTGGATGGCCTTGCCTACCCAGCCCAGGGCAGGTGGCTTCTTCTCTGTGGCTCAGGCCACCTGCTTGCCAATACTACCAGGTCCCCTCCAGCGACAGTACCTCCCTACCCAGTGCTATGCAGAACTACACAGCCCCACCTGCGACCAGCTTCTAAAGCGGGCCCTGTGCGCGCACACGCGTGTGTGTAGACGCACGCACACACGCAGGCGCGCCCGCCCAGTCTCTGTCTGCCAGCCAGGGGCGGGGCCTGCGGGGGCTGCTATTTATAAACAGAGAAGGCTGCGCTCCAGTATCAGCAAAGGCAGGCAGACAACACTTTCCCTCCTTCCGCCACACTGGGGAGCAGACAGGGAGGGGGCCGGGGGTGCATCCGACCAGAGCTAGCCTGACCCCTTTTGCCCTGGCGGCTCCAGGAGCCCCGCGCTCTCAGGAGCCCCCACTACCCATGGCTGGACCTCGCCCCATCCCCGGAAGCACCCTTCAGGCCTGTACCCCACAGCCTCGCTGGCACAGGACCCCTTTCTGAACTGGAACATGCAGGCGACTTCGTGGCCCTGGGGTTGTCAGTCGAAGAGACGGAAGTGGGGCTGCCCTAGTTTAGCACCCGTGGTGCGGGCCGACAGGGGCAGGAGGGTGCAGCCCAGCCCCAGCCCGCGCCCACCTGGAGCAGGTACTCGAACTGGTAGATGCACAGCCCCAGCTCCGCCATGCTGGGCTTGAAGAGCTCCCGCAGGCGGTACTCCTGCATCAGCCGCACGAACACACAGAAGGCTTCTTCCTCGGGCATCTGAGGGAACAGGCAGGGTTGGGAGGGGTGCTCGCCACTCTTCTTACCGCCCTGGGGCGCAGGGCTTTGCCTGCTTCTGTTCCATTTAGATTTATAGAACAGGGACTGCGGGGGCAGCCCAGACCCTTCTAACGGGCCTCTGGTCAGTATAGCCACCTGGGTTTGATGATGGGAACCCTCCTGAGGCCAGGGTCA